AACTGTGTAAGCCTTTATGGTGCATGCTTTTGCAGGTTCATGCAGTGGTGTAGGATATCTTCTCACATGCACCAGTTTGCAAGTACTCTCTTGTTTCTTTACTTTTTCCCATTTTTAATCCTACTGCTTTTCCATTTTTAATGTTTTTTATTTACTTATTTCCATTCTTTTTTCTTAAATTAAGAAATTACATTGTTTTGATTCTGTGGTTAGGTTAATCATATTCATGCTAATCACGTGCGCATAAATTAAAATGGCGTCAAACCACAAACCCACGCGGTGTCTGCAGCTGGATTTTGACTTCCATTTTGTTCTCTCCTTGCTTCTTTTTGAATCCACCTTTGTGATCCTTGATCCTAGCACAAAGTGAATGATGTAAAAGCCAACTGGAGCGGTTCTCTGGCTTAAAAGATTAGAGGGCCGATAGAAGAAGATGAAAGAAGAAAAAGTCTGAAGAATTTTGCAGAAATTTGAATTTGGGCCTATTCTTCAAAAAAGCTCTCGCTACATTACAGTCCACTTTAAAGGTACCAGGAGAATCGCTCAGTGAAGGAGAGCTCATCTAAGCCATTTATAAGGCTGTACAACGTAAGATAAAAGAGTTATGAGTGTTTGAAAATCATAAAAACGGTCGCCATCTTGAAAAACCAACCTCAATCCTACATATAGGCTACCGCCTATATAATTAACTCTTTGTTTACTCAATTTAACTTCAGCTTTTTTGGAGGACGAAACTAGGTTTTTCCCTACTCTTTCCAGCTCCTTTCTTCCTGCTGTCATAAGGAATAGTAGCTCCAAGAGTGATACGTTTTATCCAGCCAGACATGGAAGCTTTAGCCAGGCTCAACCAAACCTCTACAATGCCGCTTTCATGGAGGACTCCCACCAGCCTCAGTGACTAGTAACCTCTCCTGTAGACTACCAAACGAGGTAACTGTAATTTAATTTCATCATTTTATTGTGCCAAGGAATATATGCATGAATGTGTAAGGACAATGTACCATTGTTGAAGTGTTGCCGGCAAGGGGACCCAATAGAAGGTCTTGTTGCCATTAAGTATGATAGAAAGCACTCAGAATGATGGAGGTTTATAATCATATACTAAATAGCTAGTATTCTTTTTCAAGTTCAGGTTGTGAAAGCTATTTGCCAAATAAAGCCAGCCATTTTGGACCATTATGTGTATGGCGGTATGATCAAATTAAAACCCACCAATCACTAAAAACTTATCACCCCTCTACAATTACCAGCCATACGGTATTATGATTGAAGTACTGAAGCACTGTTGTTAATGTTAATTTGTAGGTGACTCCACCATTTGAGGCAGTTATTCTTGTTCTCTCCTTCATCTGGTCTATACTCTTGTCCTCTTCCTACTATGATGACTGATGGAGGAGCTAGACTAATTGAAGTGAGCAGACATTACACACAAATGTGCATTATTATATAGGCGTTAGCCTATATGTAGGATTGATGTTGATTTTTCAAGATGGCATCTGTTTTTATGATTTTCAAACACTTATAACTCTTTTATCTTACGTTGTACAGCCTTATAAATGGCTTAGATGAGCTTCCTTCACTGAGCGATTCTCCTGGTATCTTTAAAGTGAACTGTAATGTAGTGGGAGCATTTCTGGAAAACAGGCCCAAATTCAAATTTCTACAAAATTCTTCAGACTTTTTCTTCTTCTTCTTTCACCTTCTTCTATGCACCGGATAATCTTTTAATCCAGAGAACCGCTCAAGTTGCCTTTTACATCACTCCTCTGGGCTTGGGTCAAGGACCACAAAGGTAGTTTCAAAAAGAAGTGAGGACAGAGAACAAAATGGAAAACAAAATCCAGCTGCAGACTAGTGCTGGGCGATATATCAAAACTGATGATATTTAATCGATATAATGCGGTATCGATACTTATCAATATCAAAAAAATTGTAGAAAATATCAATAATGAGACCACGCCCATAAAATGGTTACATAACCTTAATAAATGGTTAATTAACTATAGGAGTAACATCTCGAAAATTACTAAAATGTATTTTCTTGGAAAGTAGATGAAGTAGCTGAAGTATACGAAGCCAAAGAAGGTTTTTATAATGCTTTTCAATAATAATTGTTCTCAGAAATAGCTTTATTTAGCCATTTTAGTAATATTAAAGTTAATGGGTGTGGTTTAATAACTTATCGATAAAAAATATCGATATCCTCATTTT